GACCCATACCTCACACCATGCACAAAAACTAACTCAAAATGGATCAAAGACCTAAATATAAAATCGAAAATGATAAAGATCATGGAATCAAAAATAGAGACAACGGTAGGAGCCCTAATACATGGCATAAACAGAATACGAACCGTAAGTAACAATGCACAAGCACCAGAAGAGAGACTAGATAACTGAGAGCTCCTAAAAATCAAACACTTACGCTCTTCAAAAGACTTCGCAACCCTGGACACCGTTTTAGCTCAGTGGTGAAGTCACTCCCGAGGTTCACCGTTCAGCCAGGGATTGGACAGCCTCATAAAACAAAATGGGACAAATGAGACACAGCAGTCCAGGGACAAGGACTAGAAGGCAGGAGGGGACAGGAAAGCTGGTGATAGGGAACCGAAGGTTGAGTAAGAACAATGTTGACATGTCATGGGGTTGTTAAGCATTGTAATAGGGCAATATGTGTGCTAACTGTTTAATGAGAAACTATTTTGTTCTGTAAACCTTCATCTAAAGTACAAAAGAAAAAGAATTATCTATGTGAGATCAAACTGACAACAGCAACTCAAAAGGTTTGATGTGAAGCCTGGGGGACAGTGAGTTGAAGGCAATGGTGATAGAATAATTTGGAAAAGGATAGTGAGAATAGCAGCACAACTGGAAGAACGTAATCAATGTCACTGAATTGTACATGTAGAAATTTTTGAAATGGTGTATCCTTGGCTATGTATATTTTAACAAAAAAAGAAGGTCCTCCAAGGTCGAGAAGGGAGAGTGTTGACATGTTGTGGGCTTGTTACCAATGTCATAACACAATATGTGTACTGACTGTTTAATGAGAAACTATTTGTTCTGTAAACCTTCACCTAAAGTGGAAAAAAAAAAAAAAAAAAGACTTCACCAAAGGAGTCAAAAGACAACTATAGACTGGGGGGGAAAATTTTGCTACGACAAATCCGATCAGCATCTAATCTCTAAAATCTGCAAGATACTGCAAAATCTCAACAACAAAAAGACAAATAACCCAATTAAAAAATGGGCAAAGGATATGAACAGGGACTTCGCCAAAGAAGACATTCAGGAGGCTAACACATACATGAAGAAATGCTCATGATCATTAGCCATTAGAGAAATGCAAATCAAAACTACAATGAGATACCATCTCGCCCCAACAAGGCTAGGATTAATCAAAAAAAACACAACATAATAAATGCTGGAGAGGTTGTGGAGAGACTGGAACACTTACACCTTGTTGGTGGGAATGTAAAATGGTACAACCACTTTGGAAATCGACTTAAAGCTTCCTTCAAAAGCTAGAAATAGAAGTACCATATGATCTTACAATCCCGGTCCTTGGAATATATCCTAGAGAAATAAGAACCATCGCACAAATAGATACATGCACACCCATGTTCATTGCAGCACTGTTCATGACAGCAAAAAGATGGAAACATCTAGGTGCCCACCAACGGATGAATGGATAAACAAATTATGGTATATTCACACAGTGGAATACTATGCAGTGATAAAGAACAACGACGAATCTGTGAAACATATCATGGAGGACTCTGGAGGTCGTTATGCTGAGTGAATTTAGTCAGTCAAGAAAGGATAAATATTGTATAAGACCATTATTGTAAGCACTCAAGAAAAGGTTTAAACACAGAAGAAAACATTCTTTCATGGTTACAAGGGTGGGGAGGGAAGGAGAAGGATTCACTAACTAGATAGTAGACAAGAATTATCTTAGGTGAAGGGAAGGACAGCACCCACTACAGGGGAAGTCAGCACAACCGGAAAAACCGAAAGCTAAGAAGTTTCCTGAATGCAATCAAACACTTTGAGGGAGAGAGTAGGGGTAGGGGTCTGGGGACCATGCTTTCAGGGGACATCTAGGTCAACTGGCATAGCAAAGTTTATTAAGAAAATGTTCTGCATCCTACTTTGGTGAGTGGCGTCTGGGGTCTTAAAAGCTAGCAAGCAGCCATCTAAGATGCATCAACTGGTCCCAACCACCTGGAGTAAAGGAGAATGAAGAACACCAAAGACACAGACACAAGCAAAGTAGTAGCCCAAGAGACAGAAAGGGCCACATAAACCAGAGACTTCATCAGCCTGAGACCAGAACAACTAGATGGTGCCCGGCTACCATCAATGACCGCCCTGACAGGGAACACAACAGAGAGTCCCTGATGGAGCAGAAGAAAGGTGGGGTGCAGAACTCAAATTCTAGTGAAAAGACCAGACTTAATGGTCTGACTGAGACTGGAGGAACCTCGGAAAGCATGGCCCCCGGATTCTCTATCAGCCCAGAACTAAAACAATTTCTGAGGCCAACTCTTCAGACAAAGATTGGACTGGACTGTGGGACACAAAATGATACTCGTGAAGAGTGTGCCTCTTAGCTCAAGTAGATACATGAGACTAAATGGGCGGCTTCTGTCCGGAGGTGAGATGAGAAGGCAGAGTGGGTCAGGAGCTGGTTGAATGGACATGGGAAATCAGGGGTGGAAAGGAGGAGTGTGCTGTTACAGCACAGGGAGAGTAATTAGGGTCACATAACAATGCATGTATAAATTTTTGTATAAGAGATTAACTTGAATTGTAAACTTTCACTTAAACTACAACAATTAAAAAATAATAAAAAATAAAAGACTATTTTTTTAAAAAAAGGGCACTCCTTAAATATAAGGAACAAGCTAAACATTAGAATTTTCATGTAACAACTTTATTGAGATATCAGCCACAGAATACACAATTCACTCATTTAAATGTGTACAATTCAATGGTTCTTGTACGTTCACAGTTCTGCAACATCACTACAATAAGGTTTAGAATATTTTCGTTACCCCAGAAAGAAAACTTGTACCCATTGGGTATCACCCTCCATTCCCCACATTCCTCCCAGGCCTAGGCAACCACTAATCTACTTTCTGTCTCAATAGATTTACCTATTTTGGACATTTTATATAAATGGAATCATACAATGCGTAGCCTTTTACAGCTGGCTTCTGTCACGTAGCATGTTTTCAAAGATCATCCATGTTGTAGCATATGTCACTACTTCTTTCCTTTTTATGGCTGAATAATATTCCACTGTATGGATAGACCACATTTTGTTTATCTATTCATCAGTTGATGGACCTTTGGGTTGTTTCCACCTTCTGGCTATTATGAATAGTACTGCTATGAATAATCATGTACAAGTTTTTGTCTGAGTGGTATACACTTTTAGTACACTTTTTTCAACAGTTGACTTTATTCTGTAGCGATTTCATTGATATATATTCCTAAATAGTTGAGTTTCAAATGTATTATTATTAGAATTATCTTTTTATTATTTTTAAATAGATAGTACGTCACAGGTTAGGTTCCCCAGTGTTATGGATTGAATTGTGTCCCCCTAATGTTGAAGTCCTAACCCTTAACCATTGCATCATTAGGGCTCACATCCACAGGTGTAGGGGTTAGAATTTCAGCACATATTTTGGGGGGCACAATTCAACCCGTAAGAGATGCATCACATTAATTACTTCCTGATTCCTCACAACAACCCCGTCACTTAAGTTTGTTTTCCCATTTGACAGAGGAGGAACCTGAGCAGTGAGGTGACTTGTTCAAACTCCTGCTGTCAGTTGGTGATGGGTCTGAGAGCTGAGCCCAGTTCTCCCCGTCCCCACACTGTGAAACTCCCATGTTGTTCTTTTTTAGGTGTCATCTAGTCAATTCTGACTCATGACGACCCCATGTGACAGAGTAGAACTGCCCCATAGGGTTTCCAAGGCTGTAATCTTTACAGAAGCAGATTGCCACATCTTTCTCCCATGGAGCAGCTGGTGGGTTTGAACCTCAGACCTTTCGGTTAGCAGCCTGGTGCTTAAACATTGTGTCACACCCATGGAGTAGTTATATCCTGTTCACATGAAGAGCTGTTGACTCAGGAATCCCCCTCGAGTGTCCCTTCCCAGGGAAGCCCTGGGCCCTCCAGCCAGACCTGGGCTCTGGGCGAGTCCTCACTGGCGGACCTTGATCTCTGAGTACTCGGTGGTGCTAGTGACTTCCTGGCCCTGAGGCTCCTGGGGCCTCAGCCCATGGAAGACGAGAGAGGCGTACTGGTATTCCTGCACTTCTCCAGAGGGGAGGGGGCCAGTCTGGAGGGGTGGGCTGTCTTGGGGGGTGGGCTGTCTCGGAAGCTGCCTCACCAGGACTCCTGCCGGTAACCCTGAGTGGAGGAGGAGAGGGGATCAAACTAGGTTAACGGGGCCAGGAGAAGGAGGCAGGCTCCACAAGCAAACCTGGAAACCAAGCATTTGGTCTTCGATCCATTCATTCCACAAACATTTGCCAGACCCTTATTCATTCAACAAACATTTAAGAGTAATCATGCCTGGCTAATGAGTCCTGGGGGACACTGGTGGCGCGGTAGTTAGCTCAGTCTGCTAACCAAAAGATCGGCAGTTCGAATCCAGCAGCTGCTCCTTGCAAACCCTATGGGGCATTTCTACTCTGTCCTATAGGATCACTGTGAGTTGGAATCAGCGCAGTGGCAACGGGTAATGAGCCCTGGTGGCACAATGGTTAAGTGCTCGGCTGCTAACCCAAAGGTAGGCAGTTGGAACCCACCCGCCACCCCACAGCAGCTCCAAGGGAGAAAGATGTGGCAATCTGTTTCTGTAAAGATTATGGCCTAGGAAACCCTATGGGGCAGTTCTACTCTGTCACATTGGGTCACTATGAGTCAGAATCAAGTCAACAGCACACAACAATGCCTGGCCCTCGATGATGGATTGCCAGTCTCATAAAATCCTCCCAAACACCCACTGGGGAGGTACTGTTGTTGTTGCTGTTAGTTGCCCTTGAGTCATTTCTGGCTCTTGGCGACCCCATGGTGCAGAGTAGAACGGCTCCATAGGGTTTTCAAGGCTGAGACCTTTCGGAAACAGATCACCAGGCCTGTCTTCCAAGGCACCTCTGGGTGGGTTCAAACTGCCAACCTTTTGGCTAGTAGTCAAGCATTTAACCGTTTGTGCCACTCAGGGACTCCTGGGAAGGTACTATTATCCGCATTTGTCAGATGGAGAAGCTGAGGCTGAGAGGCTAAGTAAATATCCCAAAATCACACATTGAATTAGTGGTGAGGCCTAGATTCACACCCAGGGTTCTCTAACTCCAGCACCCACTGTCTTATTGAACAACTCCCCTGTGCCAGGCCCTGGATGTTCAGTGAGGAATTAAGCAGACACCGTACCTGACCTCACACAGCTTCCAGTGTACGGGGGGGCAGACATGAAGCCAGTAGTCAATGAAATTACTATCTAATTGCAAATTGTGGTAGGATGCACAAGAATGGAATGATATGATGAGGACAGAGATTTGCTCAGACCTGGACACTACCCTAAGGAGCCCTGGTTGTGCAGTGGTTAAGCACTTGAACCGTTCGAACCCACCAGCTGCTGCATAGGAGAATGATGTGGCAGTCTGCTTCTGTACAGATTACAGCCTTGGAAACCCTTTGGGGCAGTTCTACTCGGTCATATGGGGTTGTTATGAGTCAGAATCAACTCAACGGCAATGGGTTTGGTTTCTTGGGACCCCGCCCTCAGAGAGCTCTCGGTATTTCACAGGTTCAGGCATCTGGATGCAACTGTGAAATTATGTTACCAAAAAAACCAGACCCATTGTTGTCAAGGATTTCTGACTCATAGTGACCCCATATGATAGAGTAGAACTGCCCCATAGGGTTTCCTAGGCTGTAATCTTTACAGGAGCTTTTTCTCCTGTGAAGCCATTGGGTGGATTCAAACTGCCAACATTTAGGTTAATAGCCAAGCTTTAAATGTTGCACGAGCAGGGCTCCTAGAACATGCAAAGTCACAAATAGTCACTAGCTGGCTGGGAGCATTGAGGTGTGTCTGTGGCTGGGCCACAGTGTGGGAGAACAGTGGGTGGGAGACAGGGAGAGGGGAAGGTGGGACACCTCTACAGTCAGACCCTGCCAGGCCTTGATGGGAATTAAAGAGTTTGGACTTGATTCTCTAGGCAATAGGGGGGACACTGAGGTGTGTAAGCTCAGGGGAAAGTGGGTGTGCAGTAAAGGATTGGTGTCAGAAGTGAGGGTGGTCTTGGGTCCCCCAAATTTGCAGTTGGTGTCAGAAGTGCGGGTGGTCTCGGGGTCCCCCAAAATTGCAACTGATAGCAGAAGTGAGAGTGGTCTTGGGTCCCTCAAATTTGCAATTGGTGTCAGAAGTGAGGGTGGTCTTGGGGTCCCCAAATTTTCAGTTGGTGTCAGAAGTGAGGGTGGTCTTGGATCCCCTAAATTTTCAGTTGGTGTCAGAAATTAAGGTGGACTTGAGGTCCCCCAAATTTGCAATTGGTGTCAGAAGTGAGGATGGTCTTGGGGACTCTTGAACTTTGTAGTTGACAATAATCATTTTGGGGAGATCCCTCTGGCATTTTGTCTGCGGGAAGCAGGAAGAAAGTGGGCCAGGTGTCCAGACAGAAATGAAGAGGTGGGGGGACAAGAACGGCCTAGCTGGAGCTGAACAGGTCTTGGTGATCCTCCAGCTTTGGGAGACATGACAGAAGGCAGAGGGAGGTGACTCCTGGGTCACTGGACAGGGCGACCAGGTTGATGGGGACCCAGGAGAAAAAGCTTATTGGGGGCAAGATGATAACCTAAGTCATCAGAGGAGCCTGGTGACCATCATCCCGGGGAGGTACCCAGATGGGACGTCAATGGACAGAGGACGCATCACTCACCCACACAATGGTGACAGGGGGCATCCGATTCTCCAGCTGCTGTCTTGGTTTTCTTCCTCTTTAAGGTCTTCACCCTGAAAGAGGAGCCCAGGACCTTCAGGAGACTGGCTCCGGGGTTGGGGTAGGACTACTGCCCCCTGCTTAAGAGGCCAGAAGGTCTAACCCAGGCGGGGAAGGGCATGGGCGCCATGTCTAGCCTGATGACTTTTATTAGCAGAACACGAGCCCCCTCCTGGAAGGAGTCCCTGGGTGGCACAAACAGCTCAGCACTCAACTGCTAACCAAAAGTTGGCAGTTCGAACACACTCAGAGGTAACTCAGAAGAAAGGTCTGGCCATCTATTTCCAAAAAATCAGTCACTGAAAACCCCATGGAGCACATTTCTACTCTGACACACATGGGGCCGCCATGAGTTGGAATCAATCTGACCTCAACTAGTTTGGTTTTTGGTTCTCAAGTTCCTAGGTCCCCGGATGGCACAAATGGTTTGCGCTCAGCTACTAACAGAAAGGTTGATGGTTCAAATCTACCCCTCTACACCGTGGAGGAAGGTCCTGGCAATCTATTTCCAAAAAATCAGTCACTGAAAACCCTACGGAGTGCAATTCTACTCTGATACACACGGAGTCGCCAGGAGTTGGAATCGACTCTGCAGAAACTGGTTTTCTGAATCTCTGGCCCAAGACCCAATTCTCACAGCAACCACTGCCCCATTCAGATTCCTCCACCTGGGATTCTTGGGGAATCCAGGGCCCGCACCCCCTCCCCCCCCCCCAAGGGAGGACACTCACATGAGGAAGATGAGGCAGGGACAGAGGAAGAGCGTGGAGGCGACACCAGCTCCCACGACGGCCGCCTGAACAAATCCTCCCTCACACTGGGGTTTCCCTGCTGACGAGTGGGATTCAGGGTGACTTCCCTCTGAGCCTCAGGACCCTCGAGCCCCTCCTCCCACAGAACATGAGCTCTCCTTTTCGTCAGTCAGCCCCCAGCCCTCCAACCCCAAACACACACCTTCCCTCCAGCCCCAGCGACTCTGCCCCCAAGTTCTTCTAGAATCGACACTCCTTCCCCCCGAGCCTCAGCCCCTAGCTGACCCCCGACCTGGCAGCAGCAGGACAATCACGCTGTGGGCGCCGTGGTCGTTCCGGGCCTCGCAGCCGATTCCGAGGCCGGGACTGAGCCCAGCGCGGAGGCTCAGGGAGCTGTTGGCCCAGGGCCCCGCGGAGCGGGAGGTGACCATGACCGAGGAGTTGCTGCTGTTTCCCTCCACCAGGTGGTCCCCAAGCCGCCAGTGCAGGGAGGGGGCGGGCCAGGCTCGGGCGGAGCAGCTGCAGCGCAGATCCTGGGCCTCCCAGGAGCAGGAGGGGCTGAACAGCTGGGGGGCGTCTGTGCGGAGGGAGGGGAGAGCTCAGCGGCGGCCCCTCCCACCCAGGACCCGGGCGTCCTGCCTCCTGGGGCCCCCACACTCCCAGAGCACAGAGAAGCTCAGAGAGACCCTGCGGGAGCCCAGCCGGTTTTCGGCTCGGCAGGTGACCTCCCCTTCGTCATCCTTCTGAACCTGAGGCAGCTCCAGGACCCCGGGGTCCGAGGGCTGCGAGGGGCTCACGAGGCGGCTCCCCCGAGTCCAGTTCCGAGTGGCGGGGGGGGGGGTTGCTGTCAGTGACACAGACAAGGCTCAGGGATTCCCCTTCCACGGCTGGAAGAGATGAGCTGTTCCCCAGATATTCTAGATATTTCGGTTCTGGGGGCAGCGAGAGAGAGACAAAGAGACACACAGAGAGGCAGAGAAAGATAGAGACAGAAAGGCAGAGAGAGAGAGATACAGAGAGACAGACAGAGATACAGAGACAGAGAGAGCTGACCCCAGGCCTGGGGCTCTGAAGCCCTATCTCTTTCTCACCATTTATTGTATTTTTATTTACTTATTTATTTATTTTTGGATAGGGGAGAGGGATCTCCACAGGTAATTTTTTAAAGCAGCATTATTGAGATATAATTCAGATAACATACAATTTTTTGTGTGTGTATTTTTTGGTAAATTCAGACATGCAATAACTTGTTACCATGAAGTCCATTCCAACTCCTGGCGACCCCGTGTGTTAACAGGGTAGAACTGTGTTCCATGAGGTTGTCTTGGCTATCATCTTTACAGAAGGAGATCGCCAGGCGTTTCTTCCACAGTGCCACTGGGTGGGTTTGAACTGCCAACCTTTAGGTTAGTAGTCGAACGCAATCCATTTCTGCCACCCAGGGACCTTACCACCCGCTGAAAGTGTACAACTCAACAGTTTTTAGTCTATGCACAGAGTTGGGCAACCGTCACCACAATCAACGGTAGCACGTTTTCAACACCCTAAAAAGAAACCCTGTGCCCATTAAGCGGTCACTTCCCATTTCCACCCCAACCTCATCAGTACTGAAAACCAGCAGTCATTGTGACCCCATGTGTGTCAGAGTAGAACCGTGCTCCACAGGGCTCTCCATGGCTGATTTTCAGAAGTACAGCATCATGCCTTTCTTCCTTGACACCTCTGGGTGGACTTGAACCACCAACCTTTCGGTCAGCAGCTGAATGTGTCAACCGTTTGCACCACCAGGGGACTGCCCTGGTTAACGGTCCCTCCTGAGAACAGGCAGCCTCCCCATCCAACATTCTCTGATCTTCTATCCAATCTCACCACCTTTTCATCCCATTTCCCACACTTTTTCTCTGGCCTTGTTTACTCTCGTCCCTATAAAGGAAAAATACTTTTTTTCTAACTCTTGAGACGTTGGTGGATTTCTGAGAGTTCTCCCTATTGCAATAGTTCTTCCTCCCTATCAAAGTCTGGACCTGCATGATTTTTTTTATTGTGGTGAACAAGTACACAGCAAAACACACGCCATCTCAGCCATTTCCACATGCACAATTCAGCGTCACTGGTTACATTCTCCAAGTCGTGCAACCATTGTCACTGTCCTTTTCCGAACATCCCACCACCATTGACATAAACTCAACACCCCTAATGTTGCTGTTGCTGTGGAGTCCATTCTAACTGATGGTGACCCCACGTGTGCAGAGTAGAACTGCCCCATAGGGTTTTCAAGGCTGTGACTTTTCAGAAGCAGATTGCCAGGCCTGTCTTCGGGGCACCTCTGGGCGAGTCCGAATCGCCAAACTTTGGCTGGTAGTCGAGCGCTTAACCGTTTTTGCCCCCCAGGGACTCCTGCCCCCTAATGGGTGTGCATTTTATCTGACAGCTTCCAGACCCTGGCTTGGCTCCGTGATGTCGGAGTCCTGCTCCCATCACAGTTATGGGAAGGGGCCTCCTGTCCTATCTGTGCAGTTTCCTCGGAGCAAGCTGATGGTCAGGTTCTGGGGTGCATCTGGCACAGAGGGATGGGGTGAGGGATGAAGTTAGAGCAGCCCCATCCCCCGGGAGCTACAGAAACAGGAAGTCAAGGAGGCCTGTGTCCTTTCTGCAACCCTGCCCAACAACCCATGACCCCAGGAAGCGGGCGCCATTTCCCCCTGCCTCCCTTCCCCATGAGCACTCACAGGAGACACTGAGTGTGACGGTCCTCTCTGTGGTCACCCAAGCTCCGGGGAGGGTCACCCGGCAGGTGAGGTTGGTGCCATGGTCCTGGGGGCCGGGGGTCAGCATGATCACCGAGGAGTCATAGGCCTCAGAGTGGGATCCCTGGGACCTGAGGGCAGTGCCTGTCCAGAAGAAGGTGAGGGGTGTCCCCCTGTCACAGGCCCAGGGCACAGAGCACGTCACATGGCTGGGGTGGCCGGACTCCAGGGACCCCATAATGATGTTGGGGACATTTGTCAGCGCTGGGAGGAGAGAGGAGGAGAAAGTTCTGGAACTAGAGAGCAGTGATGGTCGTAGAACATTGTGAATGTACTTGTTGTTAGCTGCCATCAGCCCCAACTCATGGCAACCCCAGGCACAACGGGATCAGACTGTTGTGATCCATAGGGTTTTCACTGGCTGATTTTTGGAGTAGATCTCCAGGCCTTTCTTCCTAGTCCATCTTAGTCTGGAAGCTCCTCTGAAACCTGTTCAGCATCATAGGGACACACAGATCTCCACTGACAGATGGGTGGTGGCTGTACATGAGGTACATAGGTCATAAATTGAACCCAGGTCTCCCTCATGGAAGGCGAGAATTCTACCACTGAACCGCCACCATCCCCTTTGAAGGTACGTGTTGTTGTTAGTTGCTGTCAAGTCAGTTCCAACTCATGGCAACCCCATGTGTGCAGAGTAGAACTGCTCCATCGGGTTTTCAAGGCTGTGACATTTCCGAAGCAGATCACCAGGCCTTTCCTCTGAGGCACCTCTGGATGGATTTGAACCGCCAACCTTTCAGCTAGTAGTTGAGTGCTTAACCATTTCCACCACCCAGGAACTAAATGCCACTGAACTGTACAATTTAAAATAGTTAAAATGGTACATTTTATGTTATGTGTGTTTTCCCACAATTAAAAAAAAGGTTAAAAGAAACATTAAACAACTTTCAGAAAAGGAGGGTGAGAATGGCTGCACAACTCAAAGAATGTCATCAATGTCACTGAATTGTACATGTGAAAATCGTTGAATGGGTCTATATTCTGCTGTATATATTCTCAACAACAACAACAAAAATTAAAAATAAGGGGAAAAAAAGTATTGCAACAGAGACACAGGGCCCCAATGTGTGCCCCTGAGAGAGGCTTCTACCCACTCTTGAACCAACCATGCTCCACCATCCCCCCTGTAAAGATGGGGAGCAAAGAATTCCCTGTCCCTCGCTTCGATACCTTGTGACCATTCCATACCTGTCACATTCACCGTGAGCTTTTTCTTGTAATTGAACTTCGTCCATCCTTTCTCCATCCGTAAGACGTATTCCCCACTGTCCTCCTTCTGGGCACCTGTGATGTGCAGGGAGCAGTTGTTGGCCTGGGGGTCCCCGAGGAGCTGGAATCGGCCTTTGGTCTCCTTTCTTACATCTCTCTGTGGATTGTTTGTGGCCACTGGAACATCCCGTTTGTGATCGATGTTATTGGCCGCTTTCCAGAACCAGTAGATGAGAACTGGCTTAAAATGGTCCCAGTCACTTGGAGGGTAGGAGAAGGTGCAGGGTATGAAGACACACAGGCCCTCCTGCACCGTCACCGAATTTTGTACCTGCAGCTGGTAACCGTCATCCAGATCCTGGGACCCTGCCTGGGACCCCCAGCCCCCAACACACTCGATCCCCCACAACAGGGGCAGCAGTAGCAGCAGCAGCGGTGGCATCTCTGCAGTTGGAGCTGGACCTGGCACCCTCTGGCTTCTATGTCCCTCTGTCTTTCTGGGACGGAAGCTCTGACAGGAAGCCTCAGACGGGGAGGGGAAGGGACTGTTCACAGAAGGGGAAGCTCAGCAGCCCAAGGTTGCTGGGAGATTGCCTGCTTCCTCCCACTTCTCCTCCGCAGATGGAGGCAACAAGGCAGAGAGGTGAGGAACTTGCCTGAGACAAGCAAGGGGTCCCCTGGGCCAGGCCCTTGGAGAGGGGAGCCCCAGGAGTGGGGCGCTCATGGGAAACAAGTGATGTCTTAGTTTCCTAAAAGGCCCCAGGTAACGCAAATGATTTGCATTTGACTACTGTCTTAGTCATCTAGTGCTGCTCTAACAGAAATACCACAAGTGGATGGCTTTAACAAAGAGAAGTTTATTCTCTCACAGTCCAGTAGGCTAGAAGTCCAAATTCAGGGCATCAGCTCCAGGCGAACACTTTCTCCATCGGCTCTGGAGGAAGATCCATGTCATCAATCTTCCCTTGGTCTGGGAGCTTCTCTGCACAGGAACCTCAGGTCCAAAGGATGCGCTCTGCTCCCAACACTGCTTTCTTGGTGGTATGAGGTTCCCTTGTCTCTGCTCGCTTCTCTCTTATATCTCAAAAGAGATTGTCTTAAGACACTATCCAATCTTGTAGACCTCATCGGTAAAACTGCCATTAATCCATCTTATTACATCATAGTGATAGAGTTTACAACACATAAGGAAATCACATCAGATTACAAAATGGTACACAATTATACAATACTGGGAATCATGACCCAGCCAAGTTGACAGATATTTTTAGGGGACACAATTCAATCCATGACAACTACTAACCTAAATGTTGGTGGTTTGAACCCACCCAGTGGAACCACAGAAGAAAGGCCTGGTGGTCTGCTTCCATAAGATTACAGCCAAGAAAACCTCATGGAGCACAGTTGTACTTTGACACACATGGGGTCACCATGAGTTGGAAGTGACTCGATGGCAACAGGTTTGGGTTTTGGTTTTGCTATAACAAAGTACCACAAAGTGGGTGGCATTAAACAACAGAAACTTATTGACTCACAGGTCTGTAGACTAGAAGTTTGAAATCAAGGTGTTGACAGGGCCTTGCTCTCTCTGAATGCTCTAGGGGAGGCTCTGAAAGGGGCTGCATGGGAAGGGGGCTGTGCAGGCCTAGCGTCCTGGGTATTGTGGTATTGTTATTGCATAGCCTGCATAGTTCACTTCTGCATGCTCCTATGATTCTGATTTATTATCCACTCCCTGTATGTTCCTATGATTCTGATTTATTTTCCTTCTCTCTTCCCTCCTGTTTTCCTATGATTTTATAAAAGTTTAAAATTAACCTAAGTTTTTTCTTTGAGAGGTAGAACAACAAGTGATAACATCTAGAAGCGAGACATCTGAACAAACGGGCCCATCTTGTGACTGAAATCGGGATGGCATCAGAGGATCTTCAAGAATACCTGCAGAAGCGTCTTAAAAGCTTGCAAGCAGCAATCCAAGATGCATCAATTGGTCCCAACCACCTGGAGTAAAGGAGAATGAACAACACCAAAGACACAAGGGAAGTAGTAGCCCAAAAGACAGAAAGGGCCACATAAACCAGAGACTTCATCAGCCTATGACCAGAAGAACTAGTTGGTGCCTGGCTACCACCAATGACCGCCCTGACAGGGAACACAACAGAGAGTCCCTGATGGAGCAGAAGAAAGGTGGGGTGCAGAACTCAAATTC